TGGTCATCAGATTCAAAATGGCCAGTACTAGTCCATTTCAGCTCACTAATGCCTAAGATATCGATGTTTATGTATTCCATTTCATTTTTGACAACTTCCAGTTTTCCCAGATTCACACTTTGTACATTCCGTGTTCCAATTTTCATTTGATGTTTACAGCTGTTTCTCTTCATTTTGAGTTGTTGTCCCATCAGCAGTTGAAGGTCCCGTGGGCTTCTCTCCCATGGGTTTTACTCCATTCACGTCATCATGGTCAACTCTACTTTGAGGAGGCAGCGCTTCCCCAGTTGCATTCTGAATGCCTTCCAACCTGAGGGTCTCATTTTCTGGCACTATATCTGACAGTGTTTTTCTGCTATTCATAAGATTTTCAGTGACTAAATATTCAGAAGTAGTTCATCACTCCTTCCTTCTTCCTTGTCTGTCTTCATCTGGAAGCTCATCTGAAACCTGTCCACCATGGATGACCCTGCTGGTATTTAAAATACCGGTGTCATAACTTTCAGAATCACAGCAACTCACAAGCTACCACAGTATGACAAACTGACAGACGAGTGGTGGAATTAATTGCATTAGGGGTTATAAAATGCAGATGGTCTCAATTCTGTCATAATGCATTCATTAGCTGGAATACTTCTGAAAAGAGACTTGCCCTCATCAGCTATTTGTTATCCTGAGATGCAAATAGCTGAACAAGACAAGAAGGGTGGGTACTTATCCTTGCTCCACTTACCAGTTTCAGTAATGGGTTGCTGGCTGCCTGCTCCCAGTCTGTTCCCTGTATTTAGTTGGTGAGGGCCAGGTCTGGGCTTTGTGCATGCCCAGGACAGGCCTTAGTGTGTTGGCAGTTCAGGAGGTGGACAGTCCTCATTGAACTGGAGGGTCTGACTGCAATAAAGGACCTTGTGTGCAAATAAATAAATAACTAGAGAAGTAGGGAGGGAAGGAAAGAAGAAAGAATAACAAATAGTGTTTCTAGAATCTTCAAAGATGACCAGAGCATTTTTTGTTTACCATTCTTTTTTCCTTGTAAATTTCATTAATTTTGTTGTTGTTGAGAATATACACAGCCAAACATACACAATCCAGTAGTTTCTGAGGAATTATGACTTAGTGACACTGACTACCTACTTCAAGTTGTGTACCCTCTGCTTCTAAGTTGTTCCCCACTCACAGTCCCCATTGCAATAGTTCTTAAGAGCCTAATGCTTTAGGTAGACCTTTGTTGACTAGTTAAGCAAAAGTGCTGGTTGGTTTCTCTGTAAAATGAAATGATTGGCCCTAAGACCAAGGAGCAGGCCCTCCAGCTCTAAAGTTCTAGTCACCTGTATGCATCAGCACCTCTTCTACTATTTCTGTGGCGGATTTCTTTGGCTGCTGAGAAATAGGTCCTTTATTCTTCAGGAACCAGAAATCAGGTGCTGTCCAAGGAAGTCCCAGATGATGGGTACAGATGATTCTGTCTACATCAAAGGCTCTGCTTATCAAATCCTTTGCCTCCTCTTCATTCATCAGCCAAATCTCCCGAAACTTCTCATCATCAATAAGAGCAAAATGCCTATGAAAAAGAGTCGTGGAGAATGACCAACTGACCCCAGGGATCGCACAGGGTCTCACCTCAATGGACAGTTGGGCAAGAACATCAGTAAGAGCAGTGGCTACTCCTGGTCCTCCTCCAACCCCTACACCACTGATTCTAACTTGTAATAAACTAGAGGCTATCCCAACAAGTCTCAAAACAAACAAACAAACAAAAAGGTAGGTGATGTGAGTAAAGGTACAGAAAAGCACAGCACAGAAGTTATTTAGTGCCATGGTCCTGCTGCTACTGGTGATATCAAGTCTAACAAAATCCCCACCACTACCAAATTCGCCCCCATCACCTTTATTTTAAGGCTCCAAAACCCCTAAAATACCTCATGGCTCTCTGTAGCTCCTTAAACTGCAGCACAAGACGTTTGTAGTCGGAGGTTAGTGACTGGTTCTCCTCCTGAAACTGCTTTACCTGCTTGGTATATTTTGATCTCAGATTGTTAAGTACATCGTGCAATCTGTGTTGAAGGAAAAAGAAAAGTTACTTTTTAAGAGAACAGACAGTGTAGTCCGTGTTCTTCTCATCCATCTGACTCTGCTCTACAACAATCCAGATGGGTGGGACAGTGGGAACCCCTCCCTCTTGTTCCAAATCACACTTCTAGTTGTGATCAAGAAAAGAATGCTGCAGGTGATAGGACCTTCCAGAATGAAGAGCATGTAAAACAGTCCAGAAACCCAAACCCACCGCAAGCTTGTATCCTAATCAAGAGTATGTCTGAACCTTCCTCAACACGCCTTGTATATTAGAAAAGCAAGCATGCACGTAAAGCATCCAAATCAGATCTCCATGTTCAGCGCCCATCTCTCATTTCTATGGAATCTAGCTCATCTATCTCATTGTTATTATTTAGAGGAAACAAGAAAGATAGGAAAAGTATCGAAAACTGCATATCACAAGCCTGCAATATATGGGTCCTCCATCTTCAAGGAACTGATACTGTTAAAGGTCCAGTAAACCTTTATTCATTCACTTTCACTCACTCATTCATTCATTAAACATAAAATGCCACCTTGGTGCCAAGGATATAGATAAGAACTGACTATAAAGATGAATGGAAAATGTCAGGGAGGATGGCAGATAAGGTAGAGGTGCAGTGAAGTTCTCCATATACCACAGAATACCAGATGAAGCAGGTTCAGGGCAGAGCTCCAAAACTCTGACCACATATCTAGGAATATTTAAATATCTAGGAATATTTTAAAAGTTTGAAGACTTATAGCTAGTGGAACTTGTAGCGGAAGTTAGAAATCCCTTTAGAATCTCCCGGATTTGGTGGCTCAGAGCAAACAACTTGGGCGAGACCAAACAGCAAGACCAAACGCGGAAGCAAGCAGATCCACCATGGAATAACGCTGTGGGAACATCAGTGGCAAAGGTGGACAAAATATTTTGTTGGTTTTTCTTTGTTCTGATTTTTTTTTTTTTT